TCTTCAGAGGGGGGAATGTTGGAGGGGAGGGAGTGGGCATGGATTTGATCAAAACACCTTACATGCATGTATGAAATTCTCAATAAAGTTTTTGTGCAAGTTAAAAAAAATTCTCAATAAATTACTTATGTAAATAAAAAAAAATTTAATAAAAAATAAAGAAAAAAAAACCTAAAAAGAATTATAAAATACACAATTCAACAGATAAATGAGGAAATTTTTAAACAAAATATTGTACCTCAAAAAAGCCACAAGTTTTATCCAGTTAGTCAATACCACGAGGTATCAGGTAACTACAAGTACCAGCAACAATAGAACTGCACATCCACGAGAATGGTTACAGTTTAAAGATTCACGTTGCTAACTTTTAGAATATATAAAAAAGTGAGCAAACTCTTTCTGTAAAGAGCCATATGGCAAATACTAGGCTTTGTGGGCCATAGCATGGAATCTGCTCTTGTATCACAAAAGCAGACAAAGACAATGAAAGCCACATGAGCATGGCTATGCACAAATAAAGCTTTATTTACAGGTCTGTATATAGCTTAGTAGTCCCTGCATGCACAAGGTCCTGAATTCAACCCACAGCCATACACACATATATACACACACACACACGCACACTCACACACACTGTACATACTCAAACTTTAATTTTAATATGTCACAAAATAAAATTCTTTCTCTTTGTTGATGTTTTGTATTTTGTTTTGGTTTGGTTTTCATTTTTTGAGACAGGGTCTCGCTATGTAGCCTTTGCTGGCCTAGAATTGACTATATAGAGCAGGCTGGCCTCAAACACACAGAGATTTGCCTGCCTCTGCCTTCCAAGTGCTGGGGCTAAGGGAGTATGCCATCACATCAAGTATGAAATTCTTTCTTATCCATTTAAAATATAAAAAACATTTTCTGCAAATGAGTCATAAGAAACTAGCAATGGGTGCTAATGTGATCAAACGTAATTATAAGTTTCCTACATGGCTAATAAGAATGTAACATGGTTCAGCCACTCAAAAATGCAGTTTGGAAATGTCTTCTAACAGTGAAAACAAATAATCATTTAAACTAGTGACTGCACTCTTTGGTGAAAAATGATAAGCACCACAATGCATATCGTCAACATGAAAACAAACAAACAAAAAAAAAAAAACGCTAAAAACTAACCAAATATTTACTGAAAGTAAAATGGATAAATAAGTTATATATGCACAACAGAAACCTACATAGCAATAAGCACAAATCCCATAAATATAATGAGCTAATACTGTATAATTCAATTACTAGAATTCAAAGAAATGAAAAACATCTATCATGTTAGACATAAGAACAGTGTTTACCCTTGAGGACAAAAAAACAGTAATCTGAATAAAGCACAATGGGGATTTCTAAAGTGATCCATTTCTTTACATTACTTATATAGATATGGTTCAATTTGCAGAATTCATAGAATTGTATGCTTAGCTTTTCACTGAAGTATATATACATGTAGGAAAGTACACAAACCCTACGGACAAAAAAAATACAGAAGTGCTTATTTGTGTGTGTGTGTGTGTGTGTGTGTGTGTGTGTGTGTGTGTAGGCAGACCTCACTTTACATAGAGCTGATACGCAAGAAATTCAGCTATCATAATTGTTAAAATTCAAACAACAATTAGCAAGGTGTATTCACTCTAATTACATAAATTTTAAACTTTAGGTCTTTAGTCCACAAATATTAGGTAAGCAATAGATAAACATCATGATCAATGATCAATCGCATCACTTCTTTCAATAGTATTAGGCCTGGTTACTGCATATCCGCTATTCAGCTCATGCTCAGGTAGCAAAGCATGTACTGCCTCATCATGTGCCACTAATAGACGCTACGGCATTTTACAAAAATGAACAATTGAAACTGGAAAGTGGTAGGCACAGACAAAAGTACAGCAAAGAAGCAAAAACTGGCAATACAAGAAGTGGAATTCTAATTGAACATAAATAGAATTGGCAGAATAGCTTACCATGAATAGTTTATCAATTCTGCACCATTCCAAAATTCTCTAAATAAGTAACTAGAAGAACTCAACAAAAACAGATTATCACCACAGATGAGGAACAAGGGAGGTCTTCATATAAATAAGAATATCTCAGAGAAGGTAACAGTAAGCAAATTAAGTCCCATTGAAGGGCCTCTCAGACATTTCCAAGATACTGAAGATAAAGTGGGGAAAAAATATTGGAATCTTATCCAAACACAGGAGTGTGACAATCTGCCAAGGAGACATTCCATACTGACAGTTATTCACGAAGAACACAAGAACTGATCATACTGTGTGTTTGTTGAAATTTCTACTCTAAGTAAAATAAACTCTAAGTTTATTCTCATTTTTGTAGCATTTTTACCTTTTTGTTCACTGTACATGTATAACAAATAGAAACAGAATTTACAATTATAAAAGGTTGCAGAACAATTGTATTTTCCCATTGATTACTAAGACCTGTGCTCTCCTCTCCTGTTTTGTTTACTTTGGTTTAGAGTCTCATTATCTGACCCAGGCTGGCCATGAATCATGATTCTACCTCCACTGCCTTGACCAGTATCCTGTAATTCTCTCATTCTGATATTCTGTTCTGCTGCAGAGTTGTCTTATTGCATTGAATATAATTAAGAAAATACAATAAGCATATTTTCATAGCATGGGTTAAAATTAGTTGTACAGAAAATTCTTTTTTATCAGCAGTACTTAAGTTTTCTTGAATGCTAAATCTGCATGCCTGGAGCCCATCTTCATGTCACATTTCACCAATATATACTGGAAAGACTATGAAGACATAAGACAATGGAACACTGACAAATATGGTGAATAACTTATGCCAAAAATTCCACTTCTAAACTTCCACAAATTCACTCTCTAAGTTGATCAGACAGAGAGAGAGAGAGAGAGAGAGAGAGAGAGAGAGATAAAAGAGATAAAGAGATAGATGTAGGTATAGATATATAGATATATAGATATGAATAAAGACATAGATAGGAAAGCCCTTGCAGTATAGGACAATTTGGATTATAAACTCAGTCTACACAATTCACAATAGATTAAAAATTAAGCCAAAAACAAACCTGGTTTTAGCCTGCTATATGGTTCATATTCATGTTCCAAGGCACAAACAATCATTTTCAAAATCCGATGCACTGCACTGCTATCCAAGCGAAAATCAAGAGGACCTATAACAAGGTTTTTGGTAGACTTTTCTTGGACTATTCCCAAATCTTCATTTTTCCCGGAAGGAAAATCTTGTTGGTTTGATGAACCTAGAGGAAAGCAATTTTTTATTAGTATTTTCAACAGTAATCAGATATACAAAGCATATGTGTAGTATGTGTGAATGTAGGGGGAAGGGTTGAACTCAAAGCCTTGTGAATGGTAAGTACTCTACCAGTGAGCCAAATAACCAATTCATGGCTTTTTTTGAGATAAGGTCTAAATATGTAACCAAGGCTGGCCTCCAACTCAGGGTCTTCCTGCTTCAACACTGAATGCTGAAGTATTTATTTTGTTATTTCTCTTATCTTTTGACTTGGAGCTCAATAACTTAAAAATCAATTCTCAATCAGCCACACACACAAAATCCCAAGGAATTACATTTTCTGACAGTGTCTATAATCACTGAAAGAATTCATTTCTACTATTCCACTTATAACAAACTATTTTTAATAAAAATATCTACATAATCTTCCAAAATGTCTTTAATACAGAAAAAGAAATTTTTATTCTTTTTGACAACTTGGAGTAAGATGAAATATGTTGTGTAGAATTTTATTTAATTCACATGAAAACTGCTATTAATTGGCTATTTAAACTGTATTTTCAATCATCTACACAGAAAAAGGATTTAAAATGCCAAGAAACTAAGAAAATTCCAATATAATATTAAAATTAAATGAGTTCCCAAAAGTACCTGAAGCTAAATCTAGCCTAACAGAATATAGCCTGCCAGGAACCAATTGATCTGAAGATACCTTTGTTTCTGCTGTTTACGGAAAGGAAAATATAAAGCAAAGCCAATACCTTTGCCACTGCTGTGCTCCATCGTATACAAGTAATCCATGTAAAAAGCCCCAAATCTTTGCATCCCTGCTATCTCAGTATATGTCTCCTGCCAACAAAGCAATGCAAACACAACAGTGGATAGAAGAAACTTTTAAAACAGGGTAAGTCTGAATCATATCCTTAGGATTACCCAAAGTATAGAAGCTATCCAAGAACTCACTCCTAAAAAACATGATGCTTCTATAATATCGACCACACAAAAGAACAGCCAGACTTCTATTAGATATTTTGGCCAGTTTATCAATAACAGCTAGAGGATAAATGCTTTTAATAGGAGTACATTAGATCACATTCTTGACCTCTTTATCACAAACTATCAAATCACGCATACCCTCTAACAGTCTGCAATTACTTCAATACACTTAAATGAAACATTTCAAACACTAAAGATACACTGAAATGTTTAAATGTATGTTCATTACACCGAGCAACATTAAATTCATTACTTTTAACTATGAAAGTCAAACTCAATGAAAATATTAAAATGTAAATCATTAGTTTTTTATTATATTAATCTTCAGGTAACCTTTCTGTATTTTCTTAATTTATCTGAAAGCACACTGATATTCTATAACATATTAATATATTTTACATGAAAACTTAAAAGAAGACTAAAAAGTATATGCACAGTGAAAAATGAAGTTTGTCCCTTTTCAACAGCCTTTCAGTCTAGAAGCAACAAATTTAAAAAGGTAATTTTAATGTTTCTTCCATGACTATCTCAACAGTAAAGCATGAATAAACAAACTATAGTTCTGTTACAAACAGCTGAACATCTGTGCATCTTGCTGGACCAAAGCATTCCAAAGGTTTCAAAAAACAATTAATGTGCTCAGCAGATAGCACTTAAGAAAACAGCAATCAGAAGTATTCACACAAGGTATCCACAAGTATTCACACAAGGTATTAGCAACCTAGAATTTAGCTCAAATATATATTCTCTGACCTTATGGTGAGCTGCATCCAAGATAAATTCTGCACGAGTGCTATTGTTTTCTGGGCTTCGGTAATCAAATAATGAATTTGTAAGGTATGTCAAACCCTTTGTACTCAAATTTTCACCACAAATGAAAAAGCAAGCTTCCTAAAAATTTTAGGAAAAATTTGAAAAGGAGGAAATAGCATTAGCATGTTAAAATAAACTCTTTTACGACACTCAATCAGTTCTTAACAGAAATCACTAAAAATTGAGACCCCATAAAAAGACAAGGAATGCTATCTCCATGACTTGCAGCCTATTTTAGACAAAGAATATTTTAACTAACCAAAAAGGAACTCCAAGTAGCTTCCATAAACAAGAAAGAGGCAGCATTTATGAACTGGAACATATGTGAACCATTGTCCAGATGTTAAGCACTTCCACTTTTTAATGTCCTCTGAGATCTATATTTTAATGCAGAGGAAATACAAAGGAAAAGAGACAAGGCCATCTTCCAAGCCAGAGACACGGGCAACCTAGCAGGTTTTACATGGTTAAGCACTTCAGTACCCCTGCATCTTTTCCAAAAAGGGAGGGAGAGCATGACTTACGGCTTCACTTCTATTCATGTGCTCTTCAAAATCTTTAACACCCATAATTCCTTTAAGACACATGGCTCTGCAACCTACAAACCCAATCTGACAATCAAAGAAAGGCTCTCCCATCATAAGGGCCTGTAAGAAGAAAGGGAGCATTAGAATGAAGAATTTGAGTTTAATGAAAATTTTACAGGTGTCCCTTGTAGAGTTTCTATATAAAACATTTTTAGGATTATTGCCTGTCAAATGTATTCTAAGAGTATAAACTTTATGAAAGAGACAGTTTTCTTGTCTCTGTATCCTCAAACCTTCATATCCTCACAGTGATGGCACTCCATGAAAAGTAATCCACACATATATACAAGCCATGAAAAATAGACTTATGCTGCATATTGAAAGCATTTGCTACAGGAATAAGTACTTCAACCAATACCACTGACCAAAACAGAGAATAACACTATAAATGTAAGCATTTTAAATATACTACTATGACAAAAACCTAACTGTAAATATTAACTTTAAGAATACCCAGCAATTTAAAAATATGTTTAATGCTGAAAGTTTACCTCAATTGTTGTTCCTTCTTGTTCCCAGCACAAAACTTCTTTAGATTTTACTTTCTGTGGACTATAATAGCTACTTTCAGCTTGCATTTCAGTGAGCTAAGAAATAGAAGATTAAGTAAATCAAAATTAGCCTTAAATAGCAATACACTGGCATTATCATGATGAATTATGAAAATAAGGCCAATTCAGAAAATTTAATTATTAAGCAGGAAAACAGGTGCAACAAAAACAGCTGTAACAGATTATCCATGAACTAAAGGTTGAATATGCCAGTCTAAACTTGGAAATGCCACATTTTTAACTCTTTCATATTACTTTAAAAAGTGAAAGCTACAAACAGCAAAAGTCCCACTCGTAAAATGGTTGGAATATCCTCTAAAAAAATTTACAGCTATTATGACCTCAATTCATTTTTTCTTTAATATTTTCATCTATGTTTAGTTTCAATCATTCTAAGATTCATTACTATTTTTAAACAAAAAGAAAGCTGTAAAGAAATACAAATAGGCCAGGCATGGTGTCACGCACTTTTAATTCCAGCTCTCTGGAGGCAGAAGCAGGTGGATCTCTGTGAGATTGAGGCCAGCCTGGTTCACATACTGACTTCCAGGCGGCTGGGCCTAGGGAGACCCTGTCAAAAAAAGGAAGAGGAAAGAAACACAAATAGATTCGACAAAACTTTCTAGTTCCACAGAGAGGTAGGATCATGGGGTTCAATATTAAAAGATGCCTGCATTATCTCCAGACACACAACAAATACTGCCTGCCTGCTGGAGAACAAACACTAAAGTAGACAGTAACAAAATATTGTTTTTCCTTCTCTGTAGCTTGGACTGTATTACTTATGTGTCAAAAATTAGGTAATTTGAATTATTTTAAATTTACTTCCCTTTTTGTTGATTTTGTTTGATTGGCTGGTTGACTGTTTAGTTTTTGAGATACTGTCTCACTCTATAGCTCTGGCTGGCCTGGAACTCATTATTTAGACCAGGTTGGCCTCAAACTTGCAGCAATCCTCCTGCCTCTGACTTTCAAGTGCTAGGATTAGGAGAGAAAATCATCACACCAACTTTAAGTGTACTTCTCTAAATGCAATGAGCCATCCCAGTGTGGATCAATAGTACAAAGAAATAAAATTATCAAAATTAAAGTCTAGAATTTAGCAGTACTTCATCAGTCTGCTTATTAGTTTGGCTACAACAGGGAAATTGAGTTAGGAGGGGAAGGGAATTCTTTGTGCCATCTTTACAACCTTTCTAGAAACTGTAAAATTATTCTAATATGAACAGTTTTTTTTAATTAATGTGTTCTTGGATTTAACGATATTTTGGTTACCTTTACCCCTGTGAAATTGGTATATAATATTCCTCAAATTTAAATGCAAAGACAAATCATATTTGAAAAATATTTAACTTGAGCCAAATAAAAGTTATTGAGCACAAAATTACCATTTTAAGCCCAACTACTTTATACTGAGAACCAACTAATTATGCTTATTTATTCTAATGAATTTTTCTATATATTCTATGTCTCGTGCAACCTAAGTCCTTTCATCCTATATGTTTCTAGTACTGGAATACTCAAAGTTGGTATTTTAAAGTATAATTCTGAAACCTGTAATATTTTACGTAAAAGAGAATTTTAAAACTTCATCATTCTTCAGCTGTCTACAATTACTGAACAGAAAAAGCAATTAATTGATTAAAAGGACTCAAACATTTCAAGAACAATTTTAAACATTACTACAAAAATGCTACATTTAATTTAGCATGATTTTTGTTGGACTGATATCAACTCTTCAAAATGCTAATATAGTAATATGACCTTATTTTCTGATCAAAACATAAACCACAAATTAATTCCATACATTCTTCAAATCCAAACAGAACAGTGAATTCCAATGTTTTCCTCCTATATATCAGCATATTTCCTGGGAGAAATCTTTGAGAAACACAAATGCTTTACAATTTGAAAAAGATTTAATGATTTATAAAACAATGTATGGACTTCAAATGCTGTGCAATGGTCTAAAAAAGTTTTGCATGCAAATGCCTATACTGATGGAACACAATTACTTTACCAGTAACTTAATAAAACATAATACAGTAATTTCAAGTTTTAAAGAAGCAGGTAAAAATTATCATAAAAGGTAGTACTTCTGCCATGTATTGTGGTACACACTTTTAATCCCTGCACTTGGGAGGCAGAGGCAGGTGGATCTCTATGAGTCTGAAGACAGCCTGGTCTACATAACCAATTCTAGGCCAGCCAGACCTACCAGAGAGACTTGTCTCAAATAAATAAATAAAATAAAAGGTAGTACTTACATAGAAATCTTTGACTTTCCTCATAGCTTTCCTTCTTAAAATGTATCCTGAAGTTGTAACAGTGAGAATTTAAAAACTCCTAGTTTATACACTCTAGTGAATGAACCTGCACTGAGGGATATCTGGGTACACTAACTTGACTTGACAGACCTTAACATATATGACAATATGCATGAAATCCTGTGCGGGCAGATATGGATATATGTGGATGGAGGTGAAGGTATAAAGATGATTAAGATGTTTTGTATGAAATGTATAAAAATTCAATAAAGAATATACACTTAAATGTGGAATAAAGACTGCTTTAAACCAGGCTTGACAACATGCAACCTTCTGATGTTAAAAAAAAGGGAGTATAGCATTGAACTTCAGGAACTGTTTAAGTATTATTTGCTTGAAAACATGGGCAAAGAATCAGGGTATCCTATTAGCCTTAAAAGTCCATTTCTGGGGGCTGGAGAGATGGCTCAGTGGTTAAGAGCACTGACTGCTCTTGCAGAGGACCCGAGTTCGATTCCCAGCACACACATGGCGGCTACGAACCATCCTTAACTCCAGTTCCAGGGGAATCCAAAGCCCTCTTCTGATCTCCACGGCACTGCACGACACAGGTGTACTCGCATACATGCAGGCAATACACTTATACACATAAAATAAAAATAATAAATAAAATAAAAATTTATTATTATAAAAAGTACATTTCTTCTCAGTAGGATCTCCTTTTCTGTTTCTGTCCCACTCTATCCCCAGACTGAATCTGCACCTGATACATCCCAGCCATCCAAAAGGGACTAGTGACTCTCTCATTTGCATTTGTCCATGAATTACAAGTTCTAAGAAAGATCTCAACATGTACATTCACTTCATTGTACAAACTGAGTTCATGTGCCATTAAAGTCAGGGATAACTCCTACGTAGTCTTAGCTTTGTAAGCTTGCAGTCATGCTACCTACACAATGTCCACCAGTGGGGGTCACAATTAAGCTACTTATTCCAGATAAGGATGTCTGTTTTCATACAGCTTTAATACTTATCTTTAACTTAGCTACCAATACTTGTCTCACAGCTATCAAGCCACTGTAACCACAGAGCAGGCTGATGGGAGAGTACCACGTGGTGACCGACACAGCACAATTTTCTATTCTTGAAATTACAATAGAGTTACTCCACTTGTATTTAAAAGAAAAAAAGAAAGAAAGAAAGAGAGAGAGAGAGAGAGAAAGAAAGAAAGAAAAGAAAGAAAGAAAGAAAGAAAGAAAGAAAGAAAGAAAGAAAGAAACCTCCTGGTCCATGGTATGAGTAGCTTATAAGTGACTATATCTCACAGGGTTATCTGGCAGAATATGAGACTAATTTGATATAAGAGGTTATAAAAACATATATATGTATATGTATATAAAATTCCTGAGCAACTGTAGACAATGTTGCAATTTAACAAAATATAAAACAGTGGGGAGGGCAGGACTGCAGAAAAAAAGCCAAGTGTTCTGTTGCTATATATGTTAAACTATTAGATACGCAAATGAAGACACTGGATAAGCACTGGATTCTAAAGTGCAATGTAATATGAAGATACAAATATGATGCTCTATCAGCATCCACACAATACTCAAATCACATCATCCTGAGAGCATTTAGATAAACGAGATGAGAAGACTGAAGACCAAGCCCATATGCCAATATTTAAAGCTCAGGCAAGGTAACTAAGGGTCTGGAGCAGCAAAGGAAACCATGAAAAAGCACCTGATGAGAAAAAAAAAACACAAAACATTTTTTAAAAAGAGGAGGTAATTACAGGACATTTTGAGAGATCCTCCATAGTCCCTGGAAATTAGTTGACCTTGGAGGGCAAGAACCAAACACTATCCTTTAAGTCCCTCTGACCAGATAAGTACAGGCCTCAAAGTACAGCTGTTAAACGTCCAAGAAGGTTAGTTCCACCAGTCTGGTTACCTGCCCGGGATATCATAGAGACCCCCAACAGACGGACTTGAAGCACTGTCTAGTCTACAAAGAGGAGGGTCAACTCAGAGGAAACATTTCCTCCATGCTTCCAAGTAAAACCAGCTACAGTCAAGCAGGACCTTTGACTTATCTTCACATAAATGGAACTGGTAAATAAAACGAGCCAAGGGCTCCTCCCAAGCCCATGTGACCCCTAAGGAACAAATCCTCCAAGGACCTGAAGAGTAAAAATAAATTAGTTTATTTGGGCCAACTGTATGGTCTTAAACACCCAAAAGGAAAGTATAACCAAAGATTAGAGTGATCAGTATATAGGCTTAAGTCCATATAAAATGTTATTTAGACAATTATTTCACATTGATGATTTTGTTTCTAAGCAGAAAGTGTTGCTCCAATGTAAGACTCTAAATCTTGATCTTCAATACTGTAGTGCTCACCTGTAGCTAAGAGAGATAACCCACTATTGTTCTAAAATGATGGCTAAATTTGTTTTCTCCTTCACATCCCCTATTCACCAGTCAAGGACTTTCTTTTCTCCCTACAGATAAGAGTTATGCAATTTGGGAGTCTTTTAGATAGACCCACTGAAGGGGTACCCCATTTGCCTCACCCTGCATCCCTGTTCAGCATGGAAGAAGTCAGAGCAGTCTGCTTCCCAATTCCCTATCTTCAAGTTGTGTAACCTCTTCAGAGGATGGTGTGATAAGAATAGGAGATAGGAATTGGCTAGGCAGTTAGGGTAAAAAGACCCCAAAGAAAAGTAGCCAGTTTCTTGGCTGAAAGTCAAAATGTCCTTGGACCTCT